ATTTTATCCATCTGAGAGTCTCTTCTTTCGGGACCCTCCACTTTTCCAAGCATGATATCTCTTTCCAAGGAATAATCTCTCGTAACAACATGCCCAAAGTATGTGAGATGAAACTTCACCATCCTTGCCTCCAAGGAGCACTGTCATTGCACCTTCTCCAAGATATATAGTTTTATTATTTTGGCAGTCCATTAAATATTCAGCACTCTTCTCCAACACCACAATTCAAAAGCATCCATTCTTCTTTCTTCATCCTTATTCATTGTCCAGTTCTCAGTTGCATAGCAGGTGGGTGATTAGAAAAACCAGGGCTTGAGTCAGGTACATTTTCATTTTTAAACTGACATCATTGCTCTTCAGGACTTTGGAGAGTTCTCTGACAGCAGACTTTCTGAATGTTTTATGTCTCTCGATCTCCTGATTTCTGGTACCAAAGGGGTTGGATTAACTAAGATTAAGTCATTGACAATTTCAGTCTTTTCTCCACCTATCATGATGTTGTCTATTTGTCCAGTGGTGAGGATTTTTGTTTTCTTGATGTTGATATGTAATCCATATTGAAGGTTGTAGTCCTTGGTCTTCTCCAGTAAGCACCTCAAGTCTTCATTTTCAGCAAACAGTGTTGTGTCATCTGCATAATGAAGCTTGTTTATGAGTCTTCCTCCAGTCATGATGCCACATTCTTCTTCATAATGTCCAGCTTCTCAAATTATTTGCTCAGTATACAGATTGAATAAATGTGGTGAAAGAGTCCAGCCCTAACACATAACATTCTCTATTTTAAACCAGTTAGTGTTCCCTTATTCTGTTCAGACAACAACAGCTTCTTGGTCCAGGATAGATTTTGTATAAGCATAATTAAGTGTTCTGGGATTCTTATTCTTTTCAATATTAGCCATAACTTGTTATTATCCATGTAGTCAAATACCTTTACACAGTCAGTAAAACATTTTTCAGGTATTCTCTACTTTCAGTCAGGACCCATCTAACATCAGCAATGATATCTCTGGTGCCATAGCCTCTTCTAAATCCAGCTTGAACTTCTGGCAGTTTTCTATGAATGTTCTAACTGGTTTTGAATGATCTTCAGCAATATTTTGCTTGCATGTGATATTGTTGATAATTTCCACATTTTGTTGGATCACCTTTCTTGAGAATATCGATCTCATCCAATCAGTTAGCCTGATGCCTGTCTTGCAAATTTCCTGACATAGACTGCTAAGCATGTCCAGAGCTGCATCTGTTAGTTGAAACATTTAAATTTGTATTCCATTAATTCCTACATCTTATTTTTTTATCAATACCCTCATTGCAGCTTGGACTTCTTCCCTTATCTCCATTGGTTCTTTATCATATGCTGATTCCTGAAATATTTCAGTGTTGGCAAGTGCTTTTTGGCCCAGTAGTTCTGTATTTTTTCCATCTTTTTTTATGCTTCATGGATCTTTCAAGATTTTTCCTATAGTACCTCTCAATATTGCAACCATCAGGTGAAGTCCATGTATATAGTTTCTATCTGTGCTTCTTAAAGAAGGCATTTGCAATGAATAAATGAATGAATGTACAAATTTCAATAATTTGATATCCAGCCTCATTTCTATCCCCATGTCCATTATTTCCAACTACCATTCCTTCTGCTTTGTTTCCAACTTTTTCATTCCAGTCACTGAATTTATTAATGCATCTTGAGTGCATGTTTGATCAATTTCAGACTGCAAAAGTTGGTAGAATTCCTCATCTTTCTCATCTTTGGCTTTAGCTGTTAGTGTATATATTTAAATAATAGTTGTAGTAACAGGTCTTACTTGTATGCATATGTATAGTTTCCCATCACTTAAAAGACCAATCATTTCATGATAGATCTTGTAACAACCTTTTTTTAAAAAATTTATTTTATTTCATTATTTTTTGTGTGTACCATCAAATCAGATCAGACTGGTACAGGAGGAGATTGTTCCTCCTTCTCCAGCAGAGCATCTGGTGGATTTGAACTGTGCACCTCTGAGACTGTAATTGCAGCTTCTTGCCACTAGGCCACCAGAGCTCGTGTGTAACAACCTTTTAAAATATGCATGCAACACCACTCCTCTTCAACTTTTCATTCCCAGAATAGTATATGATTGTTTGATTCAAAGTGGCAAATTTCAGTCCATCTCAGCTCACTAATGCCTACAATGTCTATATTTATCCATTCCATTTCATTTTTTAAAGTTTCCAGTTTTTCTATATTCATACTTTTTACATTCCACATTCCAGTTATTAGTGGATGTCTGCAGCTGTTTATCCTTATTTTCAAATTACTTCCCATCGGGGCTCTACTTCTAATACTATATTATACTATACTATACTATACTATACTATACTATACTATACTATACTATACTATACTACTACTAATACCAGCTACCCGTGTTCCTCTATTGTTCATAGGATTTTCTAAGGCTTATTACCTCAGAAGTGGATGGTCAATCCTGCTTCCTAGTCTGTCTTAGTCATTAGTGGTTGCCAATTCTAGTGAACGTTTTTTAGAAGAAAGAGAGTTACATGTTCTGAAAATATCTTCCTAAAGATGATTTTGTTAGTTGCAAGGGGAATGAATGCAACAGAGAAAATCGGGTAACATCTTGACCAGGTGATGAAAATTATAATATTGGGTGAGAGACATATGGTACAGAAGCACATGTGATGCTCTGAGAAGGACCTAACTTCCTCTGGATGCTATTTCGAGCAGGAATATGAATATAAGGAAGCAGCAAATGAATTCCAAATGAGAAGCATATTCTTTGAAAGTATTTAAATCTTAAAAGACAACAACAATAAAATGTTATCAAATAATCTGAATAGCAGAAAGGAAATAGACATAATGACTACACGTAATACTGACCCTAGGCTGTTTCCCTCCTGGAAAGAGAGGGAAATTTCACAAAAGAACATTTATTGAGTCAGTTAACAAAAAAACTGAACTATGAATTATTTGAAAAAACAAAGTAAACCACTGCATCTGAACTGATTCCAACTCATAGGAGTGTGACATCAGGATGGGAAGAAGACTCATCAACAGCCTTCTTTATGCAGATGACACAACTTTGCTTGCCGAAATGGAGGAGGACCTGAAATTTTTGTTATTAAAGGTCAAAGACTGCAGTGCTCAATATGGATTGAGGCTCAACATCAAGAAAACAAAGACTGGCAGCACCATGATAGATGAAAAAGAGATTGAAATTATTAACAACTCCATCTTGCTTGGATCCACAATCAACACTCTTGGCAACAGCAGTCAGGAAATCAAAAGGTGAACTGCAGTGGGAAAATCTGCTGTTAGGGACCTCTCCAGAGCACTGAAGAGCAACGATGTCAGTCTAGAGACCAAGGTGCATCTAATCCATGCCATAGTTTTCACAATTACTTGCTGTGCATTGGAGGGCTGTACAATAATGAAGGATAACAGAAGAAGAACTGAAGCCTTTGAGCTGTGGGATTGTAGCAGAGTATTGAGCATACCATGTACCATGGACTTCTACGAGAACAAAGAGGTCTGTTCTGGAGAGGGTGAAAATAGGTTGCTCCTTCGAGGCAAGGATTGTGAAACTCTGTCTCACATACTTTGGCATGTTGCCAGGAGGGACCAGTCCTTGGAGTAGGATATCATGCTTGGAAGGGTAAAGGGTCAGAGAAGGTGAGGGACTGACACAGTAACTGGAGTAATGAGGAGTAGGTGTGTGTTGGAAACAGTGAGATTGGTGTAGGATAGGGCAGGGCTAAGGGCTATTGTTCATAGTGTCGCTATGAGTTGCAGGTGACTCAGTAGCACATAACAATATGTGAACCCTATAGCACAAAGTAGAGCTGCCCCATAAGATTTCCAAGTTATGGCTCTAAAATAATATAAGTTTATGGAAACAGAGTGATATAACTTTCTCCCATGAAGCATTGGAGAGTTAGAACCACTAATCTTCTGGTTACCAACCAGTGCCTTAGGTGCATTATCAGGGCTCCTCCATAAGTCATAGATTAAAGCACTGCAAAGATGTTAAATTTATTAAACTTGATAACTGTATAGTATTTAAATGATAGAATATATTTCTACTCTTGGGAAAAACAATGAGATACTACACATGAATGATCATAGTGTATCACCTACTCACATTACGTTTGAAAAGTGTGTGTGTGTGTGTGTGTGTGTGTGTGTGTGTGTGTAAGAAAGAAAGTAAATAAAAGACATCTAAATTTTCTTCATACTATTATACTTTTCTGTAACCATTTCCAAATAGAAAGTAAAAAATAATATCATAATCCCTATCTTGATAAAGCTTACATTCCACTACCATCAATTTAATTCTGACTCAGTGACCCTCCATTGGGTCTCCAAGGCTGTAAATCTTTGCAGGAAGAGATTGCCCGCCTTTCTCTCAAGGAGCAGCTGGCGGAGTCCAACTGCTGACCTTCTGTCTGGCAACATAACACATGATGTCCTATGGCACGAGATGTTATCTGATATCAAGTTGATTCTGTTTTAGAAACAGAGTAGAACTCCCATAGGGTTTCCAAGTTGGTAGATATCTACAGGCGCAGACTATTTTCTCTTTAGCCTGCTGAGCAGCTGGTGCGTTTAAAACATTGACCTCTCCATTAGTAGCCCAATGCTTAAAGTACAGCACACCCAGGGCTCCTTAGAAATAGATAAAAAGTAAATTATATCTTGCCATTGTTATGTAGTACCAAGTCAGAGCTGCTTCTGCATAGATGTATAGCCTTGGAGCCCAGTGAGGCAATTCTAACCCAACATATGGGTCACAGTGGGTGAGAACTGATTGACCAACAGCAGTGGGCTTGGGGCTCTAAGGCACAGAATGGAAAGGAAGGGTATGAGAAGGCATGAGCCAGGTGGCTGTACTTCAGCTGAATCAGCACCTCCTGGTGACTGAGATCTTTCACTCAAGGGGTGTTTGGAGTGTTTGCTTGCTTGTCTTCCCCAAACTGGATTTCTTCTTCTCCCTTAGGTTGCAAACTGGAGTATTCAGAGTCTCGGCCTTTCTTTCTACGCTGACCGCCTGGCTGGCACATACAGTGGGGGCAACAAGAGGAAACTTTCCACGGCCATTGCGCTGATTGGCTGCCCGCCACTGGTGCTGCTGGTGAGGGGCACTGCACAGGGTGGGAGGCCCAGGGCTTAAACCAAAGGCATCATCTTTTTCTATGGGGAGACCAGCTCTGGGTCAGCAAATTTCAAGAATGCAGCAGTTTGTTTCTCATGTGGGCTGCACCCTATCATTCATTTTTAGTAAATCGGTCCAGTTTTCAGCTCACAGACCTTGGATGAAACTGTAGCCACAATACATCCTCCCTGAGAGTCCCCTGTGGGGCTGTGAACACACAGCAAGGAAGCTTGGCCAGCTGTGTGGAAATGGCAGAGCTGGATCAGAAGTGGCTCCTGCCTGAGGAGCTCTGTTTGCACTGTGACATGAGCAGGAGCATTGACCTGGGTCAAAGAGCAGGTCATAGAACAGACCTGGTCATGTGATACGCACCTGGCTTAGACAAGGCCTGAGACCCTGGCCTCATGTGGTCTAAAGTTCACAAGATGAGAACCAAAAGCAAAAGAAACAAACAACAAACCAGCTGTCATTGAGTCAAGTCTATGGCAGCCCCATAAAATCCAGTAAGACCATGTTCCGTAGAGTTTTCTGTAGCTGATTGTTTGAGTTACCAGGTCCTTTACCCAAGACACCACTGGGTCAACCCAAACCTCCATGCCTTCGGTTGGCAGCTGAATTCATGAACTCAGGGTTTCATAGGACTAGAAGGGAACCTAAAAAGTCACACAAGCCATCTCCCTGTCTCTTTACACATATTTGTAGAGGGTTATAAAATAAAATAAAATTTAT